TGAGGGCTGAACTCTCACCTCACCAGGTCGATTGGCTGGTATTTATAGAAGACTCCATAGCTTGCCCATTCCTCACACAGCAGCTGGAAAACAGAAAGGCAAGGTGAGAGCTGCAGCACTGTGTACACCAGTGTGTTCTCCTCTGGTCCTTTGGCCCCAGCAAACTGCAGAGCTCACACTGTGGATCTGGTCTTACCATGCTGTGGTAAGACCCAGAGTGTGCCAATACACACTGTCTGCATAAAGTATTAAAAATAAATGTGATGAATTGGCATACTCTAATACAGTGATGAATTCCAGTACATTAAAAGGCTCTTCAGTAACTGGACTGGTGGATAACCACAGTGGAGACAGGGAGAGCAGTCCTGATTTTATGATCCATAGGTCTCCAGGAGAATGGATGTGAAAAGTGAATATACATTCAGGTAGAAGACAGAAAAAGAATAAGCTGGTTTGCTTTCATTATAAAAACTACATAATTCAGCACCCATCAAGAGGTGCTGTGCAGAGGTGCCTCAATGGCTGCATTTAGGATTTTTCCAGCTTTAAACCACAAGAACCCAATGATTTGCACTCTTCCTTTTGGTTAGGATATGGGCCAAGAAAAACAATGATCCCCATTACTGATTTAGGAAATTGAGTCCCTCACAAAAATAGGTTCCTCTGAGACCTTCAACTTATCCTTTATTTCGTAAAATATCTAAATAGTGCTTCTCAGACCTGACTTCTTTTCTTAATTCAGTTCAGCTAAAAGAGTGAGCAAGAATCCAAAAACTACTGAAGAAGGTGAACTGGGCTCTGGTCACCTCCACAGAGGAGGTGATGGCTCCACCTCTCCTCTTCATCCCAGTGACACAAATTTAGTCGCAGGATGTGCCTGGACCAAAGATTGATATTTCAAGATATTTTGATGGTCACTTCTGTTTTCATCAATTCAACAACATCATTGTTTTCCTTTTTTCTCAAATGTAAGAGCACAAACTGACTACTGCTGACTTATTTATTTTTGCTGAATATGGGGTAATAAAAGAAAATGTCAGAGCTTGGTTACACAACCCTCCAAAGGTGAGTGACAGCTGTACATCCAGTTCAGCTTTGGAAGAAACTCAATGGGGAACCAAGACCTAAACCAGTATCATTACAGGGAGGGCAACATGATTAATCTTGTTCATAGAAGAAGAGGCCAAACAGGATGTTATTCCCTAAATCTCTAGGCTATTTTATCATGAGAAACATGACAGCTGTCAACCTCCTACATCTCTCCAGGGAAATACAGCAAAGCAAGGAAGGGCAGACTGGAGCCAGGCTGCTGGCTGTGCCCATTCCTCCTGCTCACACTTTATCACAGAGAAGTCATACACCAAACATTGCTAGAGCAGTTTTGGAATTCTCCTGCCAAACATGAACGCAGAGTTTCCAAGCTGAACTGCTGTACTTCTCATACAAATGGTTCAAGTCACTCAAAAAAAATGCAACTCCTTAACTTTTACAGAAATATGACGTCAAAATCTGAAGTGTAATATGGGTTTTCCCTTCTGCAATCCCAAATCATTAATCTTTATTAATTTCCTTACAACTGCAAGAGCAGAAACTCTAACCTAACAGCAGCTTTATTAAACTGCAGTATTCTTGTAAACCTTAATTTTATTCTGGTTTAGGTTTCTTTCAAACACATTTTCCAAAAGTTTAAGGCCAATTACCTATGTCTGGGAAACGATGGTTTGGGACACCTCAGCATCCACGTGCACTAGCTAAGACCCTTCCTTTTATTACTATTTTTTTAACTTCATTTTTACACCTGAGTTTGTGCAGGAAATTAGGATCCTTTGCTGTGATCTAAGATGGTCAGTCATATCAGGAAAATACTAAGCTAAGGAAATTTTGCATCAGTGCCATGTTTTAGTTTTGTCCACTTGAAACCAAATTTGTGCCTGAAGTACAAATGAATTATCTCATTTATCCTGACATTTATCAGCCTGATATTCAAAGCACAGCTTCAAAGACATGATTAGAGGAGATCAGTGCACTAGACCTAAATATTTACTTCATTTTTATGCCTCAAATCTTTAATTCTGTTGTTAAAAAAGGCACAGACCTAGCCTAGTACTGGATTAGATTAAAGAAAGCTTCAAGAAACCAGAAGAGACATGCCAAAACACACCAAAAGATTATTTGAGGGAACTGGAAGTCAAAAGCCAAGGTAAACATTTCCAAATACACAGTGGACTTGTGAAATGAGTGAATTTGTGAGATTTGAAACGTTAGTAATGAAGATGATAATCTAGGCACTTTCAGAAAACATGGACTTTCATCCTATTTTTGGTTGAGCAATGTGTTGCTTAATAATGAAATGACAGGTATGTGGTATTTATAACACAAATCAGCAGAGGGAGGGAAATAATATCTGCTGTCTGTTGATGAGCAATTTGCATCTTAAGGCTCGGCAGACTGTTCATTTTGAGTACCTATTTTTATATGTCCAACCTGAAGGTCTTTAAACCTGCTTTTCCTACAACCTGAATGTCCAGAGCATTTCTCTGGAGATGAAACCATGAAACAAACGGGAAAGGCAAAGTTTCAGGCCTGAAAACTCAACATATGACACCCAAATTTAGCAGTTTCTCCTGAGAGAACTAGTTGTAACCTCACTATTTCAGTTTTTGTCTGGTCCAGGAACTTCTTTAGGAAGTGTGATGCGAGGATATAGTAAGTGTACTTTGAATTTAAGAAATCAACATTTCTGCAAAGGGCGAAAAATTTGGTTTCTTCTTAGGAAAAGTATTTCCTTAGAATAAATCCTATTTATTTTACTACGATGAACAAATGCCTTTCACTATATAGACAATAGAACCACAATTTAAACCACTGACTTAAGCAAAAAAGTGATGCCTCAGTATACACCCACAGAGCAGTTTCTGGCTGAACTGTGCATATTAAAGCTTTGCTGAGGGTGTCTTATTCCTGATAAATATTCAGTTTTATGCTTATGCTTTCAACTGCCTCCACCCAATTCTGACCCTCACACTGCAGATCAGCAGCATATCAATCCAGAGACCAGAGCTTGCCAGAGAATGAAGCAGGTTTTATGTCCAATACAGATACCAGAATATGACTGAGCATATTCTCATCAGAGCTGGCCTGAAATGACATCATTGCATCATGACATCTGCACTTCAGGAGGAGTTATGCATAAATGCTGTCAATATTTTTACCAACATAGCATGAAAGATATAATTATCAAGCTAACTAGTTTATACATATGCATACTGCATTCCACATTTGGACAAATTTAACACTGGAAAGTATTTCTGTAGCTCTGCTTGGCCCTTAGTGCCTTTTTGCAGTATCTTCTGTGAAATCCTGGCAAACATGCAGATTCCAACAGGTGACTCTTCAGGCTGAGACTCTTGTATGTTAAACCCCCTTGTATCAACTTACTTTTCTGTCATTAGGTTCCACGTTTTCACCTTCATAGTCACCCTTTAAAAAGAGAGAACATCTGCGTCATTCAGTGAGTCGTGCCCAGAACTGCTCTGCATCTTGCATACCCGTGTATCCCACTCACTTAATGCATCAAAACCAGAAAAAGCAATCTGTAAAATAATGCTGTATTTTAGGAGCCCATTTGTCATAGCACACTTTGTCTTCTGTCGTCAGACACATTAAGAAAGAGTAATAGTGTCTGTCATTGGGGGAAAAGGAATGAATAAGTGATAAAGGTGGCCTAAAAATGTCAAGGAAAAGGATGCAGTATTGCCATTGCATTTGAGGTTCAGCTCAGTCCACTTCAAAGAGAAGAAACCAGCTGAGAGAGCTGATTCCTATCCAGACTCTCCAAACACTCAGGGCTGATTAGATTTGAGGTTTTAATTCAGAGCTATTTTTAAATATGATAAAGGAGCAAACTAAGACAATAAATAACTTATATACAAGTCTATCAGTAGCTGTCTAAAGATGTGAGATGAGAACATGTGGAGAAGTTTATTGAACCTTTCTGGATGGATTTCTAAGTGATACTGCTGTAGTTGGAGAAGTTTATTGAACCTTTCTGGATTTATAAGTGATACTGCTGTATTGAGAATCCTGACATTTATGATAAACATCAGGCAGATAAAGAGGCTGTTCTGGTCTTGGTTACTCCAAGATAAAACTCTCACAGCTCCAAGTAAAACCAGTGTGAGTGTGGGGAGGAGAAAACTAGGAAGACACACTTCATCTTCACATGCCAGGCTGGAAAACTGGCACGAGGCTCCCCAGCCCTTGGATGCTCACACAGTCCATCAGGAGCAAGCAGCATGACTGCCACGTCCCCCTGACATCTGTCAAGCTTTCCTGTGAGGGTCAAGCTAAGCTTGTCCATTCTAGTTGTACCCAGCACCTCTAAGTACAGATGTGATCAGCATCCAGCTGTGTGCACCTCTGCAGGATGGGGATGCCCAGCTCAGCTATGGGTGCCACCAAAATTCCATAGCTGTCTCTAACCCTCTAGATGAGCACTACAGTGAAACACAGTCTTGACATCTTACTGAACTGCTCCAAAGCAGATTTTATCAGTAAGGTTTGCAGTCACATCCAGTCCCATGAAATATGTCACTTCAAATCTTTGCTTGTGGTTTTTCCTCCAGTGGCAACTAATTGCATGGACACACAGCTACTGACATCTGTGTACTGCCAAGGGGGACACAGGGAGATGTGAATGAGGGAACCAGCCACAGGAATAAATATGTTTCCTAGCAGTGATGCCAGGGATCTTGGGAGCAGAAGGTCAGAAAATAACAAGCATTTCATTTGCTAAATGGCCGAAAAAACTCTTCTGATGTTACATTCAAAGGTCACTTCTGCTCATCAGAGGTGGAACAGAGTGGGGAATTCATTCAAAGTGAGGCAGAGTGATTGACCACCCTGCAGAAGTTACTGCAGTCATGACACAAGCAAGCAGGAAATCAGGACCTGAAACCCTTGTGTTTGGGATGATGCCATCACTACAGAACACACGAAGGATTTCTTGGTGACATGTAAAATGGGACCTGAAACCCTTGTGTTTGGGATGATGCCATTACTACAGAACACATGAAGGATTTCTTGGTGACATGTAAAATATATTGCAAGATCACTTACGTCATGCAAGGGATATGCAGCACTGTAAACTCCATTGGCAAGCAGGCTGGTGATCCCTTGAAAAATAAAGACATAACAGTTATTTATAATTTCCAGGTTAGACAGTCTCACTTTATCATCCTTCCTGGAGATTTCCCTCAAAATAACAGTCATTTGATCAGATAATGATTTTTCTGCCATCTCATTCCTTTCCATGTAGTTTCATTTTTAATCATATAGGTTATTATACATGACTCATTTTATGAAATGGAAAACTGCAGAGAGCAAGAGGAAGTCATATATATTTGAGAATCAAGAATTAGAAGCCAATGACTCGAAATTAGTCATTAAAATAAATTACATTTTCTGAGAAGTCAGTTTGATTGAAGGGCAAAGCCTGCAGACTTGAGAGTGTAGCAGAAGGCTCGATCACAAGAAGAATATGGCTGGAATTGATGGCATATGGAACAGGCATAAGCACACATCATCCACACAAAGAAT